TGCTATGTCACAAAGTAGGATCCGGAAGAATCCATGCACGGCAGGATTCCCCGAGTCACACCGTTAGCACTTTGTTGCTATTAATCACCATATATTATGTATTTTTGTGCATAAATTGAGACACTGGCTCGGTTCGTATATCCCTTGCCTCTGAGTCAGAAGGTAGGTGCAAGCCTTACATCAGGACTTTGAACTCAGTCCAGGCTGACACTTCAAAACAGTATTAGGATTGCACAGGTACCATCCTTTGGATGAATTATCAGAGCTGCCAACTTTTCGATGAATTATATTAAACTGAGGTCCTGCCTGTCTGTCCAGATGGATATTAAAGATCCCATGGCCCCTATTCAGATAAAATCCAAGATTTGGCTATGTTTTCTCATGGCTTCCAGTTTCGTCATGAGGGCTTCATGAGGCACTATGTGGAAAGCCTTGTGGAAATAGATGGATGCGATGTAGGAGGATTTTCCCTTAGCCTTGCGATGTTCAGCGATCTCATACAAAGCCACAACCTGCCTCACACATTCCTCGTTGGAATGGAAGTCAGGCTGTTCCTTCCTGATCAAAACATGCCCCCAAAATGGAAAAGAACCTCCTATTCGGAAAAGTGAAAGGAGTTTCTCCCGATGTTCGGGCCCTACATAGATCATTCACTTCATGGCTGTGTGTGGAACACTGCTGTGTGAAAATTGATTGCCTCATTTTTATTACAGTAAATCCTCTGAAGAAACCATAGGCAAGTTTCGTTACACCGCACACCTCTGTTTACTTAGTAGAAAATAGGGTTATTAGTTGATTCGTAATAATCCCTCCAAAAAAACACATGGTTACTCAATCCATGACTGTTTGTGGGACACTGCTGTGCGCAATTAGCTGCCGTTCAGAGAAGGATAATTATTAATATTACTTATTAACAATAACATCAAATGATAACGTTATATATCACCCTTCAAGGAGGGCAACATCTCAAGAGTGCTTACTAAGTGAATTTATGGTATTCTGATTAACGTAGCATAGCAAAAATAGTAGAATTCAATGGAAACACTTTGGTTTAAACTGATGTGCCATAGAGGATTAATTCTATGTTTTACAATAGGTAGGATGCTCTTTCACAACAATTCTCTGCGGAAGATGTTAATTACTTAAACATTCTGCTATTCGATAAGTGGCAACATGTTCAGCACTTTCAAAGTTTTTCGAGAGACACTCATTTTCCAGGCAATGAAAAATAAGTCATTTGTGCCCAAATTGTCTATTATTGCAGGAGGCAGGTTGCAAATTGACATGTCCGTGCTCCATCAAAACGCAGTTCACTACTTATCTGCAAATTAGGTGCCCCTGCACCACTGAACATTAATGCCTTCCAACACGCTTGCTTCCATAAATACGCTATTTTATTAGACTGAGGGTGGGAGGCTTGATTCTAATCAACGCTTGTCTGCCTTGAGTCCGTGTATCCCATGAAAAGTGATTGTGGAGAGTGAGCCCAAAACTGCCGAGTGCTGATTAGACTTGAGCAACCTGTCTGTAGATCAATCAGTATGATAACAGCTGGAAGCTGGCTGCAAGTTTGTCAATTTCTTTTCACTAATTCACCTGCCCTCTGCAAAGCCCCAAATCATCCAAATCTCCGTAGCTTGTATTCTCTCCTGCATCAGGCTCCAAACATCCATTAGTGCTATCCTCATTAAAAGTGAATGTAGAGTCCTGTAGCGTATTGGCTAGAGCGCTCGCCTCGCAAGCGAGAGGACCTGGGCTTGATTTCTTGGCAGGGCGAAACGTTAGGCAAGTTTCCTTACTCCACACGCTTCTGTTTACCTAGCTGTAAGTAGGAACCCAGTTGTTAGTCGATTGGCAGTTCGCTTTTCTGTGGGTAATAATCCCTTCCAAAAAAAACAATAATGATAAATTGGTCACTTCAATCCACGACTGTTTGTGTGACATTGCTGTGCGCAATTGGCTGCCGCGTTTCGCCCACAAAATCTACAGTCAATTCACTTTACAGTATCTTGCATTTGATATAACACCTTATCTTGCATTAGATGTGTAAAAAAAATTCTCCTCATCTCCCCTCTGCCTGTTAAGGAGGATATTCAAGATCCCATGGCACTATTCAAAAAGAGAAGGGAGTTTCTCCTCATTTCCTGGCCAACAATGTCCCAGACAAATTTGATTATTCACTTCATGGCTGTTTGTGGGACATTGCTGCGTGTACATTCACCCACAAAATACACAGTCACTAACCACACTTTACAATATATCTTATGAATCACGTTGATGGGTCTTCCTGACATGAAAGGCACTACAACAATACAATGCTTGTTACTATTATATTGTGAGTAACTTCAAGCCTCTGGTTTACATAGGCCTCTGCTTTGCATGGATCAGTATCATACTGGACAATTACTGTGCCACTGAGTTGCTGGAAAGCATTGGTTAAATTTCCAGGAGGCTATATAAATGTAAGTTATCATAGAATCATAGATTTATACAGAACAGAAGGAGGCCATTCAGCCCATCGTGTCTGTGTTGGCTCTTTGAAAAGAGCTATCCAAATCAATCCCATTCCCCCGCTCTCTCCCCATAGCCCTGCAAACTTGTCCTCCCCAAATAATTATCTACTTCTCTCTTAAAATCTGTTACCGAATCTGCTTCCACCACCCTCTCAGGCAATGCTTTCCAGCTCCGAACAACTCGCTGTGTGAAAACATTTCTCCTCACCTCACCTCTGTTTCTTTTAATAACTATTTTAAATCAGTGTCCTCGGGTTACCGACCCACCCGCCAGTGGAAATAATTTCTCCTTTTTCACCCTATCTGTGTATTTTATGGGAAATATAGTGCTTTATCGCATAGTTAGGCTTTGAGAAGAAATGCTAATGGTTATGATGATGCCAGGAATATCAGTACAGAAATGGGGAGAACCAACTTCTCTGGATAATCTATAAGCTGCTGCTGGAGTCTGTAGATGCCAATCACTGGAATGAGTTCACCTCGTGCTCTCCTGCAAAAGATCTGGCACCATTTGATTTGGGGATAAGTCAAAAAGCCATTAATGATCCTTCAAGGAAAGAAAGTAACATAGACATTAAGGAAAGATGGAATGATCTGAATTCTAAAGCAAGGTGGCCCATCGAACATTCGCACCACAGTCAAGTCAAATACACGTTCAACCAACAGTGTGTTTTACTTGATTCAATATTTCTTGATTGATGGCATAAATGTCAGGGTTTTTAATAGAGTACATAAGGAGAAGTGACTGTTTCCTCTGGCGGGTGGGTCGGTAACCAGAGCACACAGATTTAAGATAATTGTAAATCCAAGTTATTGTAAATGGATATGGGGCGGTGGGGGGAAGAGAGAGAGAGAGATGGGGAGTGTGATTAAGAACAAATACTTAGAAGAAGTCAGTTATTGCACAGATATGATAGTCAAATGGGCTTATAAATAATAAAAAATAATCCTTGCATTTGATATTGTGCTTTTCAAGTCTTCTCAACTTCTCAAAGAGCTTTACAGAATATACTGTACAGTGAATTGACTATATATTCTGTGGGCGGAATACGGCAGCTAATTGCGCACAGCAGTTTCCCACAAACAGTCGTGGATTGAAGTGACCAATTTATTATTTGTTTTCTTGAGGGATTATTATCAGGCGCGTAGAGTAAGGAAACTTGCCCAAGGTTTTGCTTTAGTAGTGTTTATTAGTAGTTGATGCTGGTGTTAATTTTTGTTGCATTTTGCCATGGCGAGTGTGAGCTTAACAAAACACAATCCTGCTCTGAAGCACTGACTGTAGCAGAGCGGTTGGCATGCTCGCCTCGCAAGTGAGAGGACACAGGTTCGATTTCTGGGTGGAGCGAAACCTTAGGCAAGTTTCCTTGTTCCACACAACTCTGTTTACCTAGCAGTAAGTAGGAACCCAGTTCTTAACCAATTGGCGAATTGCTGTCTGTGAGTAATAAACCCTCCAAAAACACTGGTCACTCAATCCATGACTTTTTGTGGGACGTTATTGGCTGCCATGTTTCGCCCACGAATATACAGTCAATTCACTTTACAAAATATTCTGTGAAGCTCTTTGAGACGTCTAGAAGACGTGAAAAGCGCTATATCAAATGCAAGGATTACTATTATTATTATGTTGTTTTAGTACTTATTTTCGTGGTTATATCTTTAGGTCAGTGGCAAAAATCCGTCCTTCGTGTGAGACGTTAAACCAAGGTCCCATCTACCTGTTCAGGTGGATGTTAAAGATCCCACGACACTATTCGAAAAGAGTTTCTCCTGGTGTCCTGGCCAACAATCTTCCAAATAAAATTGGTCACTCATTTCACGGCTGTTCATGGGACATTGCTGTGCACAATTGACTGCCACATTCTGCCCACAAAATATACAGTCACTGCACTTTACAGTATATCCTGTGAAGCTCTTTGAGATATATCAACCTGTATTATTTTATTATTATCAACAACTTGATAAAGCGCTGTATCAAATGCAAGGATTCTTATTATAAGAATCATACCGACTGTAGCCCTGATAATTTCATTTTATAATCAAAATCCATGGCTCGGGCCTGGTGTAAGAGGAATAAATTCTGAGAAACAACTTGACAAGATATGGCTCTTCAGCCTTTAAAATCAATGTCTCAAAGAGGTGTATAAGATGGTAAACAGAATAAAGAACAATACTTTCAGATAGACCAAGGGATTTGTAAGATGTCCATTGCAATGCCATCGTCACAGAAGTTGGCGCTGAGATTAGCACTCTAGTACATTCCAGCAAATGGGATTCATGATCGACAAATTGTAAATTTGTTTAAGCATTTTCCTTCCAACTCTATCTCGGCTGACCCACGTTGATTTGAAGCACTCTTAAATAATAATACTTAAATAATACTTATCGAACACACATTTCATCGCAGGTAAACGGACTTCAATCGCTCTGCAACCCGGAGACAGTCAACAAGTTCAAAAACCAACAGACACGCTATTTCAATACCTGCGGTTGATTCCACGATTTCTGTTGTGTTTCTTAAGCCCAGGAAGTCAAATTGATAGAGACGCCAAGATTTCTGATCAGACGCTTCCACTGAATTCTTCCTCCATCTGTAAATCATTTCTTCCTTGGGATATCCGTCTGCAAACACAAGCAAGCGCAATATTAACGCCCAATGCACGGCTATCCAGAGATAACTTGTAAAATTTACATTTTTTTGAAAAGGCAAATCACAAACAAGTGTCCCTGATTTTCTTTCTTATCAAATCACTTTTTTTTTTACCCAGAGAATTGTTATGATCTGGAAAGCACTGCCTGAAAGGATGGTGGAAGCAGATTCGATAGCAACTTTCAAAAGGGAATTGGATAGGTACTTGAAAAGGAAAACATTGCAAGGCTATGGGGTAAGATCGGGGGAGTGGGACTAGTCAGATAACTCTTTCAAAGAGCCGCACAGGCATGATGTGCCGAATGGCCTCCTTCTGTGCTGTAAGAGTCTATGATTCTATGAAACCATGAAAAAGGACCTCAATTTAAGATCATTCAAAACAATCCTGGCCAACAGTCACCCAGATAAAATTGGGCATCCGCTTAATGGCTATTTGTGGAACTAGCTGCCACACTTGCCTGCAGGGTGCACAGTCACTACACTCTGCGGTGAATCCTGAGAAAAGCTTTGAGACATCTTGCTAAGTGAAAAGATCCCATATCAAATGCAAGGAATATTTAAAAAAGAAACGTATCGAGGAGGGTTCGGAGAATATTGTTTTGCACTGAGGTTTAATTGCACATGGAAAGCCCTACCAAAAATAACAACAATTTGCATTGATAAAGCGCTCTTCACACAGGGCAGCTATGGGAGCACTGAAAAAAACAATGGTTTAAGCAGAAAACATAATAGTTATCAGAAGGGCGTTAGACAACTGCATACATATGCAGTGGAGCACTGCTATAATACAGTAGTTCATAAAATCCTAACCCATCTGACTACATGGAATTACACGGACAGTTACAGAACAGAAACAAGCCATTTGGCCCAACTTGTCTGTGTAAGCGTTAAAGCTCCACATTGCTCTTATCAACCTCGTAACCTATCCAGTATATCATGATAGCATCTATACCCTCAGGTATAGATCGAAATTATATTGATACTTTTGCTTTAACCACAGTTTGGGAGGCTGAGAATAATGTTAAAGATCCCAGGGCGTTATTCAAAAAGGGAAGCGAGTTTCTCCCAGTGTCCTGGCTAACAAGCCCACAGATTAAATTGGTCATTCACTTCTTAACTGTTTGTTCACATAGATTTACATAGACTGTACAGCAAGAAACAGGCCATTCGGCCCAACCAGATAATGTCCCACTGCTTATTGGTTCCCATACCCATTATTCCCTGAGCGTGGAGTCCTATAGCACACTTGCCTCGCAAACGAGAGGACCCAGGTTTGATTCCTGGGCAGGGCAAAACCTTAAACAAGTTTTCTTTCTCTGCACGCCTCTGTTTACCAAGCAGTAAATGGGAACCCAGTTGTTAGTCGATAGGCGGATTGTTTTCTGGGGTTAATAATCCCTCCAAAAAATAACTTGGTCACTCAATCCATGACTGTTTGTGGGACACTACTGTGTGCAATTTCACCCACAAAATACAGTCAATCCACTTTCCAATATATTCTGTGAAGTGCTTTGAGATGTCTCAATGACATGATAAGGCACCATATCAAGTGCAAGGATGATTATAATTATTATTATTATTATTCCCTTCTCTCTCATGTGTATATACAGCCTCCTCTTAAATGCATCTGTATGTCAATCACTACCTTGGGATGGCCTATCGACATGAAAGGCACTATATAAATGTAAATGAGTGAATTGTATACTATCTGATTCAACCACCACTTTGAGTTCAAGCGATTTCCACATTCTCGCTACCATGGCACTATTTAAATAGAGAAGGAAATTGCTCCCAATAACCTTATCAACAATTCCGCAAAATTGGTCATACACTTCATGGCTGTTTGTGGGATATTGCTACGTGCTAATTGACTGTCTCATTTCACCCACAAAACACACAGTCACTATACTTTACATTTTGTATACCACCTTGTGGAAGGATTATTATTATTATCCTCTGCGTGAAATAGTTCCTCCTAAATTCTCTTTTACATCCCCTGGTCGTTATCTTATACTTGTGTCTCCAAGTTATGGACTCCCCAACCAGGGGAAACAGCCTATTTATGCTAACCTTATCAAACCCTTTTATATCTTTGAACACCTCTATTAAGAATATAAGAATTTGCTGGGCAATAGAAGACTAAGGTCCATCTAGTTCGCCTTCCACCATCCTGGCAGTCGCTTGATATGTCATGTCCCAAACTATATACTGTATCCTGAGATATTATTTTATAGCAGAAATCTATCTAATTTGCTCTTGAAAGCAACAACATTTTCTGCTTCCACCGTCTCCCTCAGGAGCATGTTCCATAAGTTTACTACTCGCTCACTGAATAATAATAATAATAATAATAATAATAAGTGTTGAATAATGAAGTAATAATGAAGTAGTGTTTCCACAGATTTGTTCTGAATTGACCCCCCCTTCAATCGTAGACTGTCTATTAATAATAATAATAATAATAATCCTTGCATTTGATATAGCGCTTTTCACGTCGGGAGGACGTCCCAAAGCGCTTCACAGAACACACTGTAAAGTGAACTGACTGTATATTTGTGGGCGAACGCGGCAGCCAATTGCGCACAGCAATTAGGTCTCCTCTTAAATGTTTCTTCTCTATCAAGAAAGTCTGTAACCTATCCAGTCTATCCTGATAGCAACAACCTGCCAACCAAAATCTCCGCTGTATTCTTTCCATCACTGCTATATCCAAATCAGGCCATTCACCGCAACTAGTCCTTGCCAGTGTTTATATATTACATGGGTCTCCAACTATTCCTAACACATCCTCCATAACCCTCTACTAGTGAGGGTAAGGATGTGAGCAGCGGGGTTTGGGATCAGCTCCAAATAAAGTCATTACACTTCACATTATGCCCAGTGAAGTATTTTGATTTATCCTCCAAACGTGAACGGCACTGAATTAAGCGTAATATTATTTTGACCACCTCAAACAGGTCATCGCTCAACCTCCTCATCTCAGCTGTAGAAAACATAACCCATCAACCCAGCCTCTCATCATAGTCTGCTCTTGATAAACGTCTACACCGGGCTGTGGTATTACCAACTCATCCATCAGGGAGACTCATTCTTCATTTATGTCCACAACTCCACGTTGCAAGATATATTGCGCTGTTAGCTTGAGGAAACTCAAATTGATAGAAATTATTCAGGCTAGAGCTGCGTGGAATGGAAACATTAGTGTTCTATCTGCAGGATGTCTTCTTGCTGTTTCTCCTGACTGCCTCATCTCCTCTTACACTTTACATTGTTGCCGGTGGATTTCATGTCACCTGTCAATGCATTCTACGAAACGGTGATGGATTGTAGATTAGTCTGCCATTGGGACGTGTCTATGTGGGGACTCGCCAGGCCATTCTCTAACTGGAAACATATGGAATTTGCAAGAGAATTTTTCTGGATAGTCAGAAAGCCACAAGTTGGGACTTGGAACCCATTTGATCCCTTCTGACACTCCAATACTCCCATCTAAAATACCGCATTTACCAATTTAAACTGTGACTTGAAGTCCTGAGGTGAGGCTTAGAGCTCACACGTTTCAGACCCTGAGGCGAGTGTTATCAACTGAGCCCAGACTGACACCCACAACATAAATCTAAATTGATGCTCAGCCACCTGAGTTGAGCTCATCTTTCAATGAGAATGGATGGTGCAGCTTCTCTGCGCGCACATTAGAGAGGAAATGGCCATTGCCAGTGTGTGCACCGACTGCATCTTTTATATTAACACAGAACCAAATAGACAGCCCAAACAGATGACTTCGTGCAACATGGACGGTTAATTGCTGATCTGTCCTGATGCTTTACTGCCATAAATACCAGCGTTTGTTCACGAAACTGCTACTTTCCATAAAGTTTATTAGCTGCAGTCTGTCTCTGTCTCACTCTGTTGACATATTCATTGCTGTCCAAGTCACTTCTGGTGACTCCCTAATGCTCTATTGATTTTCCAATAACGGGAGTCTGGCACTGAGAGATCGGATCTCTCACATTACGTGGGAGGCTTCTGGTGTGGTCTCAATGCATCCCAATGTGAATGAAATACAGCTGTTGAACGGCTGCCCCTATAGTTAACATGCTACAGTGTCAAGGAGCCCATAACAGATGCACGAGAGCACGCACACTCTTCCTCACATAAACCAAGCATGGGGGTATTTGATGGGAGTAAGGCATCACGATAGAATTGAACCCTACCGACATTCCCTTTGCTCGTCGAAAAACTGGCCTGCTTCATGTCGCCTGCCCTATCTGCCCTGCCATCAGCCGGCAGACTTTGAGTCATCCTTCCCCCACTCATTAGAACTCCATTCCTGAATCTCTCTGACTTGTCCACTTCCCAGTTCCAAAGCCTGCCTCAAAGGCTACACATCTTTGATCACACGTTCATCTCCCCCTCTCCCCACCTCCAACCCACCCTCTTCATCTCCCCTTTTCTGGCTGAGATGCCCAACCAGCCAATAAAGCAAATAAAGTGTTATTGACATGTCCTGCCTGCCACAGTGAAAGGCGTAATATAAACATTAATTATATTATTGACTCACTGAAACTGCACTGAGATGTAAATCTCATTGGAGCAGAGTTCCCCTGTCGTACAGGTACAACAACAACAACAAATTACATTTATATTGCGCCTTTCACGCCTTTCATCTAAAATACTTAACATCCGCCAGGCAGCCTCATCCACCTGCCCCTTGTCACCCACCACCACGCCCTCTCTGTCCCCCTCACCTTCCTCATCATCTGCTCTTATCACCACTCCCATTCTGCATTCCTTCCTTCCCATCTCTCCCTCCTCCCTCTCACCCACCAGCACCCCCATGAAACCCACCACCTGCTGCCTCGACCCCCTCCCCACCAACTTACTGGTCACCCAGCTCCCCTTCCTCTCCCCACTATTGGCTGACATCACCAACCAGTCCCTCTCCTCCGGTTCAGTCCCTGCCTCCCTCAGA